TTTCACTGAACAGGAAAAATTATCTTTATAAATGCACAATTTGTTTTGGTTGCTTTCAAGGGGGTGTAGGATGAAAAAAACAGTGTCTCTTCAGTTGATACCAGAGCTGCTATTAGAGAAGAAACATTTTATCATTTGTTTTAGGAAAAATAACTTGGCCCTTTAAGTCCGGAAGTCAGAAGCTTCTATAATAAGAAACTAGAGCCCTAACCGGTTTAGCTCAGTGGATAGAGCTTCGGCCTGCGGACTCAAGGGTCCTAGGTTCGATTCCGGTCAAGGGCATGTACCTTGGTTGTGGGCACATCCCTGGTGGGGAGTGTGCAGGAGGCAGCTGATTGATGTTTCTCTCTTATCGATGTTTCTGCCTCTCTATCCCTCTCCCTTCCTCACTGTAAAAAATCAATAAAACATATTTAAAAAAAAAAAAAGAAACTAGAGGCCCGATGTATGAAAATTTGTGAAAGAGTAGGCCTTCCTTCCCCGGGCTGCCAGCACCGGCTTCCCTCTGGCACCCGACCCCCGGGCGTCCCTCCTCCAGCCACCGCAGGCACCCGGGACCCAGGCTGGCTTTCCTGGGGCCCAGCTTCATCAGGATGTCGGAATGACGTGCAGTCTAATTAGCATATTACCCTTTTATTATTATAGACAGATGGTTAAGCTATTTTCTATGGAGAATTGAATAGATAACAAAGTATTGCCTCTTGAGAGAAGGCAATCAGAAGACAGGTCCAATGAGATGTGGTGGGCAACGGCAGTGTGTGGGGAGCAGTGGCTGCCGGCTGAAGCCATCACATGCTGGGATCCGTCGCTGCCAACATTGTCCCACTATAACAAACATCCTTTTGTGTAAGCGTGATTCATCTCCAATTGTTCATCCACAGGTGGTGGAGAGAGTGACTTTTGTTTTTCGACACAATGCAACTGGCAAGGCGAACAAGAACATATCAACTAGATAGCCACTTTAATTTTGTTCTTGAGGTCCCTTTTAAATGAACATCTCATAACCTTGGATGACAAGTCCTGAGGCCCCTTAAAACTGCAAAACACATTTTCATTTCATAAATGAGTCCCTTTGTCTAAGCTTCTAACTTCATTTGAAACTATAGCTACTCCCTTTCCTGCAGATACGGAGTGTTACTGCTTCCTGGGGAAGGTCCAGGGCTGGCTTCTTTCTGAATTCCCTCCTCTCCACCCTCCCCCTCTTCTCCACCCTCCCCCGCCTCCAACAGCCTGCCCTTCCTCATCCCTCCCGCACTGGGCAGGGGGTGGAGAATAGGAAAAGTTCTCACCTGACCCAGGCTATGGAAGCCGAGTTTTCCGTCTCTGGGCCTGTGTGATAGTTGAGGTGGACTTTTTTTGTCGTAGGGGGTGGGGGCTCTTTTGCAGTTCCTCGGAGACTTTGGAGTTTTTTGATGCATTCCTCAGTCTATCCCTGGGACTGCTCACCGGCAGTGTGCCTGTTTACTCTTCCTGCAACCTCCAGGAGTGCTGGGATTCTTTCACGCTTAGGCAACCCCACCGTGACTCATCTGCCGTGGGACACCCATGCTTCCTCAGTGCCCTCTAACTCTGGGAATGCAGGCAAGCCCAACACAGAAGCAATTCTCCCTCATTCTGGGTTTCATGTCTTGGATTTCCCGAGGACTTAGCACCTGCCAGTTCACTCAGTCCCTCCCATGCAAAGCAGACGTAGCTGAGCCTTTCTCACTAGGCTCAGTGTGAGGGGCAGACACTGGGGAAGAGCAGGACTGAAAGCAGCCCACAGACCTTCCGGAATCCTCCCCCAACCCTGCACACTTTCTCAGAAGGTGAGCGGTTAGAACTCCCCTTGCCAGTTCTCAAAGCCCCTCTATTCCCTCAATTCCTCATAGTGTTCCGCCTCACAGTTCATGTCTGTATTTGATAGCCTGTATTCTGAAGCTGCAACTAAAATTTCTAATACAAATGCCATCTTGAGGAAAAGTAATTTATTTGGTCTATAGAGGAGGGAATCGGTCAGATTCTAAGACTCAGAAGGAATCCCTTATCAGACGGCCACAAATAGATATAACTATGTAGTTTTTATAGCGAAGTGAAGTTTAGTCTAGCTGTGAAAAACTTTTTGCTTGGGCCTGAGATCTCAGAGAAATTTGTCACAGAGATGTCCTGACCATTGTTTTTATCATGATTCTTTGACAGATGAAAAGCAATGTGAGATGAAAATCATTCTTAATTGCTGGGGTCCAACCCCAGCAGGCCCAGGGGTCCCCAAAGGTGTGGACGGAATTGGCGAAGAAGGAATGACACAGAGACAGCGTTCAGTTGATCAGCAGCCTAGCCAGGATCTCTAGCCAATTTCTAGTTAGGATCTCCAGGCAAGTTCTGGTTAGGATCTCCGGCCAGGTTCTGTTCCATGTTCTCTTGCTAGGTTCTCCAGCCAGGTTCTGTAGCCATGTTCCCTCGCTAGGTTCTCCAGCCAGGTTCTGTAGCCATGTTCCCTCG